TTACGTCTCATTATTCACACCCCACCAACCCTGCACTCCAAACCGCCAGTCTCTTCTTTAATTACAAAACCGCCACAAAAACTTACCTACAACACAACACCTGTCCAAAACCCTGCCATTCACAGACAAAATCTTTCACACGTGTGTAGGTCACACAACATATATGTGCTATAGACTTACCTGAGAAAGCAGAGATTCCGTGGGGTCGTGTCGGTCTTCGTCTCTCACGTACAGAGGACTCTGATGTCCCAGTGTGAGCGACCAAGAGCCATAGTAGTCGTAGGCCATCACATACACGTGGTCCAAGTACCTGAGGGCAAACAGTGGCACAAGAGCTCCAGTCCAGCTATCACAGATTGGGGCAAACGGCATGAGCAACAGCTTAACACGCACGGATACTGACAACCAGACAATTACAAAGAAAGGCACGTCTCAGTTTCCTACTAACGTCCTTCAAATTCATCTCGCAGTCAGTCCTATTCTAGCTTCATAATTGTACTTGTGTCTGTGTGTGTGGAAGGAGCAGGGGGTGGGTTCTTAAAAACATCATTGTAGTTTGAGACACTTCACATGTCTTGTTTTGGCTGCTTTTTCAACAAACTCATTTATTCTTCTACACAATACCATGAAAACTATTATTGTCTTGGTGGATATGGAGTGAGACGAAGCATCAAGTAACTAAGACTTACTGTTGAATGATCTGTGGCTCATATGATGCCTCTATCTCTGTCTTGTAACCGGACACAGCAGCGGTCAAGAGCAGGCGGGGCTTGCCAGATGCCTGAGCTTCTACACTAAAGTGTTGGAACAGAGCTTCACACAGCTGGGAAAACTGGCTTCTGAAGGAAGCGCCTGGAAACTCCCAATCCAAATCCAGGCCGTCAAAGCCATGAGTACGTAGAAAAGAGGCGGCGTTCCCAGCAAACGTCTCCATGTTGCTCATTGAGGCTGTGATGCTTTCAAATGGCCAGGTTCCCATGGAATAACCTCCCACTGCCAGGTGCACTTTCAGCTCGGGGTTCACAGACTTCAGAGCCATTACTTGTGCGTACAGATCTGTGGATGGCAACACTAGATGAAACTCAGTATCATCACACCAGTGTATGCTGATGTGCATGTGTGTTTGTGTGTAAATATTTCTTGTGTATGTGTGTGTATGTGTGTGTATGTGTGTGTGTGCGTGTGTATGTATTTGTGTGTGTGTGTGTGTGCGTGTGTGCGTGTATTTTGTGGAGGGGGGAACGGAAGAATTCATTAGAAAGAGAAAGACTGTGCACCTGTCAGTGTGTTGGTATGTGTCTGAGAGAGTGCGTGTGTGTAATGTGTGTGTAATTTATATGTGGGTGTGTTTCTGTGCCAGTGAATGTTCTTAGCGAAATGATCTTTTAGCTAATACGTAAGACACCTACCTGCATCATTCCACTCTACGGTTGTCAGGGTCAGACTGGCTGTGTCGATGTAGGCAAAAGCGTACACAATGTCCGTACAAAGGTAGGGGTCAATGTTAGCCACTGAGTAGAGGCCTAAACCAGGTCTGTATTGGGCCCAGTTGGTAAAGTAGCAGGCGATCACGTGATGGCTTTCATTATGATGGACACCTGCGAGGAACACAAGATATTTTACACACTGTGCACGAAACATTGACATTTCCACAACTTCAAGGCTCCCACTCTGTTACAGGCAAGATTGTACACACATTTATCATTATCTTTACTGATGCATTCTCTTCAGTACTCTCCAGGGAAATGTTTTTTCTTGTCGGTTTTAGGAAACACGTAGAGAGACAACCAACATAAGCTTTCGTAGATAGAAGATGGCAATAGTCCGAATACTTTGATGAATCAGTACATGTGTGTCTATAAAGAAACTTCGGGCCGAGAAGCACCCGTGTGACACATTCCATCATGCACTTCTCTATGACTGAAAGCTAAATGACTTAAACTCATTAGAGCAGCCATTATAATTCCTGACTTTTCAGTATTTCTGCTGCCATGTTATGCTCATCTATGTATGTATTTGTGCATTTAAGTTAAGTGTGCATATGACTCTCAAAGACTTTCCAGGCCACCTCTCTAAAAACGGTAAAATACCATGAAAGAAACATAACGCTTTCACGGTGCCAGGCAGAGATCCTACTATAACCAAACCTACTATGAGAGTTTAGAGATGCTCTCAGAGTAGGAATTTACATCTGGCTGGCAGTTGGCTTCAGGATAGAGCTACACTGAAACTTGCCAGATAAGGTTCTCACACTTTGGACCTACCCGGGGTGGCCGTTGAGCTGTGCCCGCCACTCATGATGTCCGTGCTACTGGACGTAGAAGATGGCGACCATGTGGGTGATTGAGGAGATGGCAAGCTCGCGTTAGCTGGGCTCAAGGTCAGCGGCTGACTTCCAGGACTCCACAGGCCCGCCTTCATAGCTTGGATCAGAGGGTAGGGACCTTCCCCACACACTTGGTCTGCAAAGTCGTCAAAGTCCACAGTCCAGAACATGGCACCGGCCAAACCTTCAGCTACGATGTACGCAGCCTGTGAACAGAGACGGGACGCCTGAGTGGACACCTGTACACACATCTTCTGTTTTCTTTCTCACCTTCACTCACCATCTTTCTTGACAGTCTTGTTTCTACTCACCGTGGACCAATGGGAAGACGGCTCACAGTGTAGTCTGTTTATAGAACTCGCTGAAGCCATCACACAGCAACAACTGACTTCATGGGTGCGGATGTGTAATATGCCTGGGTGTGTAATATGTGTGTCATTGTGTGTATGTGACTGTGTGTGCGTGTATGTATGTATGTATGTATGTATGTATGTATGTGTGTGTGTGTGTGTGTGTGTGAGTTTGTGTGTATGTGTGTGTGTGTATGTATGCATGTGTGTGTGTGAGTGTGCATGTACGTATGCATGTGTGTGTGTGTGTGTGAGTGTATGCAGGCATATTTGTGTGTGTGTGTGTGTGTGTGTGTGTGTGTGTGTGTGTGTGTGTGTGTGTGTGTCTGTTTATGCCTGTGTTCTGTGTTGACTGTGAGGACTGTGTTTGTGTGTGAAAGTCGGTACGTACGTAACCTACTGCACGTATAGTTTTGAGTCAGGCGGAGCTTACCTTCTCAGTCATGCTCTGTACATCGTCGTAGGCAAGCCATTCCCAGTGCGAGTTGCGTTGACCGTAGGCAAAAGGTACTCTGGAATCGTCCATCCACACTCTGTTCAAGGTGCCGCTCATGATCATGTCACAAATCTGGGGAGACAATGAGTTTGATGAATGTAACAATAGTGAGTTGTCCATGAGGTTTAGAGCTGATGGCCCTTGGAAGAAAGAAAAAACAAATGAAGAATGCCAAGCAAATGTGCTGAAAACGTGAATGGTACGACCCATTGGAGCAGAAGACGATGGGACTGACAAAATTGATTTTTTTTTTACTTTTGTGTTCTGAAAATCAAGAGCATGAATGCTGATTATCCTGTTAAAGTACGTATTAGTCTTCAGTGAAAAAAGAACAAATCCAAAACCAAAAAAACAAATCCACCCAAGAAGAAAAGCTCACTAAAACCAAATTCAATTAATTTCGCTGTACAGCGCCAATGGCGTCATTAGCTCATTTATGACCACAGAACAGTACACCTACAATAAAACATACCCTGACTATTCCCTCACCTCATAGTACGCCAGGAATCCCGGTGTAGCACTGTATGGTCCCACATCGCCACCTCCAAGAGACTGGTCTCCAACATGCCACTGGTCAGCAGCCGACATCCGGAAGGTCCGCCCGTAGGTGGCAGCTCCCATCACCAGTTTATTCTTGGGTACACCCAGCTCGTGCCACCAGGTCATGGAAGCATTCTGAGACACGGAACAGGAACACGGACATGCTCAGGACAAGTTTGGAGGCTCGCAACACTCTCACAACAGACACACTCCTCATTCTACGTCTCATTATTCACACCCCACCAACCCTGCACTCCAAACCGCCAGTCTCTTCTTTAATTACAAAACCGCCACAAAAACTTACCTACAACACAACACCTGTCCAAAACCCTGCCATTCACAGACAAAATCTTTCACACGTGTGTAGGTCACACAACATATATGTGCTATAGACTTACCTGAGAAAGCAGAGATTCCGTGGGGTCGTGTCGGTCTTCGTCTCTCACGTACAGAGGACTCTGATGTCCCAGTGTGAGCGACCAAGAGCCATAGTAGTCGTAGGCCATCACATACACGTGGTCCAAGTACCTGAGGGCAAACAGTGGCACAAGAGCTCCAGTCCAGCTATCACAGATTGGGGCAAACGGCATGAGCAACAGCTTAACACGCACGGATACTGACAACCAGACAATTACAAAGAAAGGCACGTCTCAGTTTCCTACTAACGTCCTTCAAATTCATCTCGCAGTCAGTCCTATTCTAGCTTCATAATTGTACTTGTGTCTGTGTGTGTGGAAGGAGCAGGGGGTGGGTTCTTAAAAACATCATTGTAGTTTGAGACACTTCACATGTCTTGTTTTGGCTGCTTTTTCAACAAACTCATTTATTCTTCTACACAATACCATGAAAACTATTATTGTCTTGGTGGATATGGAGTGAGACGAAGCATCAAGTAACTAAGACTTACTGTTGAATGATCTGTGGCTCATATGATGCCTCTATCTCTGTCTTGTAACCGGACACAGCAGCGGTCAAGAGCAGGCGGGGCTTGCCAGATGCCTGAGCTTCTACACTAAAGTGCTGGAACAGAGCTTCACACAGCTGGGAAAACTGGCTTCTGAAGGAAGCGCCTGGAAACTCCCAATCCAAATCCAGGCCGTCAAAGCCATGAGTACGTAGAAAAGAGGCGGCGTTCCCAGCAAACGTCTCCATGTTGCTCATTGAGGCTGTGATGCTTTCAAATGGCCAGGTTCCCATGGAATAACCTCCCACTGCCAGGTGCACTTTCAGCTCGGGGTTCACAGACTTCAGAGCCATTACTTGTGCGTACAGATCTGTGGATGGCAACACTAGATGAAACTCAGTATCATCACACCAGTGTATGCTGATGTGCATGTGTGTTTGTGTGTAAATATTTCTTGTGTATGTGTGTGTATGTGTGTGTATGTGTGTGTGTGCGTGTGTATGTATTTGTGTGTGTGTGTGTGTGTGTGTGTGTGCGTGTGTGTGTGTGTATTTTGTGGAGGGGGGAACGGAAGAATTCATTAGAAAGAGAAAGACTGTGCACCTGTCAGTGTGTTGGTATGTGTCTGAGAGAGTGCGTGTGTGTAATGTGTGTGTAATTTATATGTGGGTGTGTTTCTGTGCCTGTGAATGTTCTTAGCGAAATGATCTTTTAGCTAATACGTAAGACACCTACCTGCATCATTCCACTCTACGGTTGTCAGGGTCAGACTGGCTGTGTCGATGTAGGCAAAAGCGTACACAATGTCCGTACAAAGGTAGGGGTCAATGTTAGCCACTGAGTAGAGGCCTAAACCAGGTCTGTATTGGGCCCAGTTGGTAAAGTAGCAGGCGATCACGTGATGGCTTTCATTATGATGGACACCTGCGAGGAACACAAGATATTTTACACACTGTGCACGAAACATTGACATTTCCACAACTTCAAGGCTCCCACTCTGTTACTGGCAAGATTGTACACACATTTATCATTATCTTTACTGATGCATTCTCTTTAGTACTCTCCAGGGAAATTTTTTTTCTTGTCGGTTTTAGGAAACACGTAGAGAGACAACCAACATAAGCTTTAGTAGATAGAAGATGACAATAGTCCGAATACTTTGATGAATCAGTACATGTGTGTCTATAAAGAAACTTCGGGCCGAGAAGCAACCGTGTGACACATTCCATCATGCACTTCTCTATGACTGAAAGCTAAATGACTTAAACTCATTAGAGCAGCCATTATAATTCCTGACTTTTCAGTATTTCTGCTGCCATGTTATGCTCATCTATGTATGTATTTGTGCATTTAAGTTAAGTGTGCATATGACTCTCAAAGACTTTCCAGGCCACCTCTCTAAAAACGGTAAAATACCATGAAAGAAACATAACGCTTTCACGGTGCCAGGCAGAGATCCAACTATAACCAAACCTACTATGAGAGTTTAGAGATGCTCTCAGAGTAGGAATTTACATCTGGCTGGCAGTTGGCTTCAGGATAGAGCTACACTGAAACTTGCCAGATAAGGTTCTCACACTTTGGACCTACCCGGGGTGGCCGTTGAGCTGTGCCCGCCACTCATGATGTCCGTGCTACTGGACGTAGAAGATGGCGACCATGTGGGTGATTGAGGAGATGGCAAGCTCACGTTAGCAGGGCTCAAGGTCAGCGGCTGACTTCCAGGACTCCACAGGCCCGCCTTCATAGCTTGGATCAGAGGGTAGGGACCTTCCCCACACACTTGGTCTGCAAAGTCGTCAAAGTCCACAGTCCAGAACATGGCACCGGCCAAACCTTCAGCTACGATGTACGCAGCCTGTGAACAGAGACGGGACGCCTGAGTGGACACCTGTACACACATCTTCTGTTTTCTTTCTCACCTTCACTCACCATCTTTCTTGACAGTCTTGTTTCTACTCACCGTGGACCAATGGGAAGACGGCTCACAGTGTAGTCTGTTTATAGAACTCGCTGAAGCCATCACACAGCAACAACTGACTTCATGGGTGCGGATGTGTAATATGCCTGGGTGTGTAATATGTGTGTCATTGTGTGTATGTGACTGTGTGTGCGTGTATGTATGTATGTATGTATGTGTGTGTGTGTGTGTGTGTGTGTGTGTGTGTGTGTGTGTGTGAGTTTGTGTGTATGTGTGTGTGTATGTATGCATGTGTGTGTGTGAGTGTGCATGTACGTATGCATGTGTGTGTGTGTGAGTGTATGCAGGCATATTTGTGTGTGTGTGTGTGTGTGTGTGTGTGTGTGTGTGTTTGTGTGTGTGTGTGTGTGTGTGTCTGTTTATGCCTGTGTTCTGTGTTGACTGTGAGGACTGTGTTTGTGTGTGAAAGTCGGTACGTACGTAACCTACTGCACGTATAGTTCTGAGTCAGGCGGAGCTTACCTTCTCAGTCATGCTCTGTACATCGTCG